GAAATTGTCGCGTCTTGAGCGATAAATCAGGCAGGTGTCGTCGGCGGTTGGGTGTTAAGCATCTTGGCAGGCTCTCCCGTTTCTTACTGTACCCTGTGTGAGCTGTGGTCGCATTAAAAATGCAGCAAAGTTGCCGGAACAAGCTACATAAACCACCCGCACCCACTTGATTTTCCCACCCCCTCGATATTTCATGCAAAAAGGCGGCAGTAATTAAATTCAAGGAAAACTAACAGCCAAGACCGCACTGTAAAAATGCCATAATTATACGCGACTGCATGTCGTGTGGGCTTAGTGTACCGCCCACCACCCCCTGCTCTTAACCCACCCTCGCCCTCTTCCTCTTAACCCCCAACCCCGGCGAAAACTGCGGGGCGCACATACGCCGAGCGTCATAACCTTTTACTGCCTTCGTCTTGGCCTTCGTCGACATCTTCATCTTTGTCTTGGTTTTGGGCGAGCCTTTGACCTCGACGCTACTTTGCTACCCTGTTAAAATGAGAACGGGCTCTCTAATTTTTTAATTTTAATATTTAGTTTTGTGTTTTATGTTAGAAATTAACCAATTTTACTGTTTAAATAGTGCTATAAAAAACAAGAGGAGAAGGTTAAGAAATAGCTTGCATTAATAATGTAAATCTAAAGAATTCGCGTATGAGTCAAGGTCAACTGGTCCTGTACGGTTAGCAGGCAGAATGTTTTAATCTATAGCCAAAATTTAACTAACTAACAACAAATAATTGGTATGTGATATTAAAATTTAAATTTAATTGCTTATCCTAATTTCATATACAGTACCTAATGTTTCGAATCTCTTTTTGTCCATGATCTTTTTTGCCTGTAAAGTAACCACATTTTTGCAACGCTTTTCATGTCTGTCTGCCCCCTTTTAGCTCGCGGGGTTGGTGATGCGGCTGCTTTCGCGTCTTAATCCTTTTTCCATTATTATTTTCATAATTCTTATTTACATGACGCCAAACGTCTTCGTCTCTGCGTCGACGTTTCCTTCGCCCTCGCCGAGATTTTCTGTCTGTTATTGTTGTGGGCGGGGCGTTTTCCCCTAATTTTCCAAGACCCCCTCTCACTTGGCCAAAACCATTTTTCAGCTAAGGGTAGAGCTTGTCTCTTTCGCTTGGCGCTTTTTTAATGTTTGGCGAAAAATTATTTTCTTATAACTGAATTATTCACTGATTACATGCGCTGTCTCTGTCTCGTGTAGCGCCTTGCACTCCCCTTAACCCCTTACCCATCGTTTTGCCTGTCGCTTTCGCTTTGCCAACCCCTTTTTGGTGCTTTACAAATTTATTACTCATACGCCCCGCCCAACGAGCTCCCAGCTCTTCGGTTTTCCACTTTTCCGGACAGACCCAGTTCGGAATGATTCGCTCGTTTGGGAACGTTGGGGGTGGGAATGGGTTAACGACGGGGGAGGGAAGGGGGTGCGCATGTGAGAACTGCATAATTATGAGCGCAAAACGGATTTAATTTTTAATTAAAGCGCATTTGGGTGTCTCCTGTCCATAGACTTTGTTGCTTGGAATCGCTTTTCGGTTTTTTGTGTTTGTTTTTCGCCTTATACAGATTACTTTTAAATGGTTTTATTATTGGCAAATAAGATTATGCCGACTTTTGGAGATATATTTTTTTTTTAGGCATAAAAATTGTTCATTGTAAATTGGAATATAAAAACTTTAAAATAAAAACTATTACCTTGCAAGCTAAGTCAGAAAATGTGGATTTAAATATCTTTTTAAACTGTAAGGAGAGTTTTAGTGATAATTACTATTTTGGGTGACCTTTTGAATTTAGTTGTAGTTCGAAAGTCTTATTTTATATCTAAAACAAGTCAAACAATTTTAAAAATTTTAAAAATAATAATATATTGAAATTGTTTCTGTCTGTACAATGCATTTATTTTATTTAGCCTTTTTCTGTTTAATTTGCCTTATTTTACTTATCAGGTGTATATAAAGAAATAAGTGACGTGTGTTTAAAATTGTATATATGTAACTGACTACATTAAATTTCATTCCTTCGGCCGATGAATCGCCCAAAAGCTTTCCTTGGCGATGGCCATTTGGAACTACCTTTCTCCCAGTTAACCACCCAATGCCTCATGTGCTTAATATTATGCTTTCATTTCTGTTTGCCAAGTGTTTGCATAAAGCGCGCGTTGACTGACCACGCACCGCTCCATTCCTCACGACCCTTGTCAGGACCTCCCCTACTGGAATTGCTTCATCCTCCAACCCTCCAAGTAACGGGCATCGATAATGTGTCGCATGTTTAACAGGAGGTTGGTCCTACCGATTCCCAACTCCTACTTCTGCACTAAGAAAAATTGATACTACAAAATTTAATTAAAATCGTTAAGCACAAAGTTCGAAATGAAATATAAAATAGTAAATCAAATTTGATTAGTTGCACATTTATTGTAAGATTTCACTTTTAAATACATTTGTTGTGCCTTGATTTTCCATAAGATAAATGGCAAAGAAATATTTGCGGTTAACTTTTAAAAATCATCTACTAAAAACTTGCTGGAACGTTACATAGAAATCTCAGCAAACAGTGATAAACTTAAATTATGAAATAATTTACTTTTGTTTTAGAATCCTAACCATTTCCCTTTTTTGGAATGTTGTTTCTACTTAAAGATTTGTGTTCTTTGCAAACAGTTTTACATTCAGTTTTTAAACAGTTTTCAAACCATTCTTATCTCAGCACCAGCTTAATAATTTTTTCCAGTGTGCTCCTGCTCCCGTTCCCGAACCCCTTCCATTTTCTGCTGCCCGTCGACGTTGATGATGACACTCATAACAATTGCGCGACGGCATTTTACCTGAACAAACTTTGATACATGCATCGGGCGGTGGAAGGGATGATGAGGGGGTGGAATGGGGGTTGGGACTTCCAGCTGAAGGCAATGGCCAAAACCAAACCAAACGTAAACGCAAATGAAAGCAAAATGCAGCCATGTCAGCAGCAGCAGCAACAACGGGTACGATGATAGCGGTGCAGTGGCTGCTAACAAAACAAGTGGGGAGTCCACATCGGCCGAGGGGGTGGGTGGTGCAGATGTGGGCGGAAGGTGGGTGGGTGGTGCCTTGGCCATTTGGCAGTTGGCACTCGAATGCAATTTCAGTAATTAAAATAAACAACAGACGATGACGTGCAGTTTTGACTCCACCGATAGGCTTTTGCCCGGCTCGACGACACCATCATCATCAACATATCATTATCAGACAATCCTTGCATCCATTTGGGCCAATTGCTTTGTCAAAATAAACAGAAAGTGCTTTCCAAATCCAAATTATATATTTTCGAATTGAGATTACTCTTACTCTGAATTGTAAAAAAACCGCATATACTATATATAGAGTTGTATTAAGTTGAAATGCATTTTGGGGTAAAAAACTATCTTTAGTATGAATGCTAATAGATAAAACTATTTATTTTAACATCGTATTCATTTTTTATTTCTTAATCATTCATTTTAGCCTTAAATGGGTAACAAATTCAGTTAGTTGCTTATGCTTTTCAGTGACATCTAAACAAATTTTAAAAAACCTTGTGAAATTAATATATATTGTATATTTATATTTGCATTATGTTTGTTTACAGTATATTTGGAATAAAGTATTTTTGATCTATGATGATAATTTTATTGAAAGTAAAAGGACCGAATTTCTGTGTTAATTTCTAGTGATACATTAAGTTAATACACCCCGTCCTGGAACGACTCTTTCCCACACAGGACATAATAAAAGTCCCCAACGAAGCTGGGAAGTATGGTGCGGCTTTTGTGGCCAAAGGCGAGCACGGGAATTGACTTAATTAAATCCAATTTTCAATGCGTTTTTGGTCATTTGAGTGCGCAATTTACTGTGTCACCCCATGCAGTGAAAATAAGTGTGTGTGCGTGTGTGTGTGGGCTGGGAAGAAGAGGGGTAGAGGGGGCGTGGCATTGTCACTTGGTAGGTTTTTATGTTTGTTTAATTGTCGGAGATGCGTTTCGCTTTATGCTTATTTATGATTTAATTAAATGCAATGCAGACCGCAAAATGAGCCATGTTCGAGGGGTTGGGATTTTGGGGCTTGTGGGCGGCTATTTAAGGGTGGCATCCATCGATGGTTGGGCTAGAGTGTTTATTTTGGTTTCGAGACGTTCTTTGTGGCCAGAAAATGACCAGAGAAGCTCATTTAATTAAGTCCGCCGACCAAAATAAGGGAATTTATTACCTCTGACCAAGGGACGTATGCAGTAATATTATAAATATATATATATATCCTCCGGCCATTTATCATGAACCCTTCATCTGGCAAAAACAAAAAAAAATTTTAAAAATTTAACCATCAATCAAATTATTAAGGCTCACAGTTTTTGTGGTATATTTTTTACTCACTAATTTTCCAGAAACAGTTGGACACCTAAAAAAAGGAGAATTATTGATTACAAATCTATGAAAAAAATGTTCCAGCATATCCTTTATTCGAGCTTGATTTGACCACATCCTTTCGCTCCTAATCCCAACCCCATATTAAACCCACCTTTACGTTGTTTTCGGCTCTTGAATAATTGAATTCTTCTGCTTGGCGAAACACAAAACTCAAATGCACAACCGATTGAGTTGATCAATCAATTTGACGGTTTTGATGGGAAGCACGACCGGATATGAGAAATGAGTTAGATATGGAGACTTAAGAGTATAAATTTGACAAGAGGAAGCATGTGAGAATTAAATTAACCACGGAAACAAAAAATTGAAAAATTTTCATATCTTTAAATTATATTCTACTATATATCAACTTTTTCTTACCAGGGGTCTAGTGAAATACACATTATAGAATTTTATTCCCCTAGATATCTTTACTCCAAAGCAAGAATAGCTGTTGTGTTTGTAGATATATATTTTAAGAGATTAGGCTTATATAGATGTTATCGAACTAGATCCAATTGCGAATTTTACGCCGAATTAGGTAAGTTTTCTTAGATTCAATATGTAGAGTTTGACCTTAAAATGTGGATTAGGAAGGGAAATATAACTTTTTGAAGATTATTTTATTTTAAATACTTACAAGAAAACTTTCGATATACAAACCCTGGTATTATTAAAAACGTCGATGCTTCATTTTGGTCGACAAATTAAAAATGAGTAAGAGTAATGAGTAATGAGAGTAGTCACGGGAAATCGAGTGAAATTGAGATACTTCACTCCTTTAAATTAAAACAATAGTTTACAGGAACAATTTAAAAATCATAGAAGCAATTTCCAATCCAACAACAACACATACTTGAATTTTAACTTTATTTAAATAGGATCTTCAAGTCGTTTACAAATCATTTTCCTGAAATCCATGTACCTGCGCTCGGGTCTAGTAAAATATACAATTGTATGAATAAATTAATAGAAAATATTGGAAATACTAGTTACCATAGTATTGACCGATCGCAATTATAGACAAATATAAGACGATATGGTCAATCCAAGACATGGCTAGCTTATGCCCATTGAAATAAATATCTGCCTTATATAGATGCCACCCATCTAGATCAAATTGTGAATTTAACAGTGAATTAAGTAAGATTCGATATAGGGAGTTTGACCTTTAAATTTGGATATGGAAAATAGCTTTACATTTAATGATCCGAAAAAAAACAATTTAAAGCAATACATTTAGTCGGTGGCCTAGAAATGTCTTTGATTGAAAGTCGGTTCGAATGTACATATAGACGGAATTTTTGTTTACCCCTGATTACTTTTAAAATCGTAAAAAGTAACTATTTATCGAGTTACATTCGTTAATGTTAAAGGTTGATATTTTTTTTAGATTCCTATTTGTTTTCCGATATTTACTTTAACATTCATAAAATTATACAATTTGTGCAATTTTTGTAAAATGAAACTAGTTTACATTGGAGTAGTTGCGTATAAGTTTAAAAACAACAAGTCTTTGCTTCTTGTATTTATTTTAAGTTTAATGATAGTTAAAAGTAGCTTAGGCTGAGAAATTTACTACATAAGTTACCGTTTAAAATCTACTTCTAGCTTACCATTAAGACGAGAAAACAGGCCTTAGAGTTTTTCAAAGATTGTCTGGCTTGGATTGGTTAAATAACAAGCTATACTATAACACCATGAGCCCAGCTCAACGACATCATAATTTTGCAGGACTTTTCCAGTCTCAGTTGTGCTTTTGGCACTTCATTCATTTGTGAATGTGACAAGTGCCGACGGGGGAATGAGAATTGCTGCTGACGACGCTCAACTTTATGTTGATTACCTTTTCTGATTATGTCTGAGTGTGTGCGCGAGTCCTTGGCACACGGCGGAAAGCCAGGATAAAACAATAAACATAAACCAAGTGGGACGGCAAGGCAAAACGGGGAAAGGACGTCGGGCATGAAATATGATTGAAGTCGAAATGAAAGATCCCGAGCAACCACTTGTGAGGTGGCTCATGTGTAGAACGGCAATCCGGAGACACTCTGGGGACAGGAGTTAAAAAGCTGCAGCTGGCAAAAGGTACATAATCACTTTTGCCGGCAACAGCCAAATTAAATCCGGCGAATATGCACAAACACACTGTAGTCGAGGACCAAGGACCAAGGAGCCGCGGCGTCAACTTACAATCCCCAAAACATTCTAATTGCAATAAAAAGCAACATTAACTGGCGCCCAACGGTTGGCTGGCACTCAAAAACTGTCTCCTTCTTTGTAATAATCATCGAATAAATTATGCAAAAATCATTTCCATTGTTGTAAGTGCCTTTTCCCCGCGCGTTGTCAACGTTCTCATCTGTTTCTGAAAGGGGGTTACGTTCTTGTATCGCATTACAGTTGCCTGGTTCTCGGGCTGGCGGCCCAAAATTGGCAATACTTGAATTTTTAATAAGCTTCACCAAGATGCTTTCAACATTTTCAACATCTCATTTCGGCGGTTTTAATGTTTGGTTGGACTAATAATGAGAAATTCGAGTTAAGGTGGTTTCCCATTTTTAAGACATGAAGTTATACAACTGATAACAGCAGTTGGATTTAACTGGGCAACAGACTTCTAAAAATATATACAAAATAACATTTATTTTATTAGATACACATTTTTGTAAAAGTATAATAATATTATAAAATAAAAAACGGAATAGTATACATGATTTATTCCAGTTGCTTTCAATTATTGTTGTATAACAAAACAATAATTAATCAAATAATTTTTTTAACCATTTTAAGGACATGAAATAAAAAAAAATTCAAAATGTAACCTGAAAAGAATCTAAAATAAATAAATCTCCAACCATAATATCTAAAAAGTGCCTAGTGAGTGTCGATGGATTATCTACTAAAGTATCCCAACAAATCCAATTACAGATTCGCCCATGTAAAATTGTCTCGTTAAGTGCAAAAGGGAAAATGCCCTGACTACCTTTTGTGAGCATTTTACTTTCCACTTAGCTTGTATTTATTTAAATTTGAGCCCTGGCTATATGGGCAGTGAGATATAGCCAGACAAGCAAGGACTTTGGGCTTATCGCGCGCTCAGCTTATTTGCACAGGCGATTGCCGAAAACCAATCGGCGTAAAATTGAAACCAGCACCTTATTCTTTTTTTTTATATTTTCGTGGGGTGTGCCGGGGCATAAAAATGAAAAACAAATAAAAAGGCAGCAGGAGAGTAGCTAGGAAATTTTCCAAAAATTAAACATGCCTGATGCGCATCGATTGATTGACGCGCGATTTGACACGTGGAAAATGCATAAAATATGAAAATACGGAAAGCCACTCGAATCGAAGGGCCAAATATCATCTGTAATTGTTGCAACCACCCTCGACAGGTTCAGGACCCTGGACTTCTCCGATTTCGTATGCAAATCGTTGAAAGGACAAAACCGCGTTGTTAAGCGTGAAATTTGTTTTTCATTTTTATTTTTGGGCGGGGCTCGGCAGTTGACAGACACTCAAATCGAATTTTTGTCGCGCTCTGGCAAGTCATAAGAAAATATTTGAATAAAAGAAAGCTACCCTCATCCCCCATTTTGCAGGGGTGTGCCTTGACTTGACGCTTGTTTTTCGGCACATTATGCAAAATAAACATGCAAATAAGATTTGCAGTTAATAAAATTGGCGTACAACCTTATATTCGCGTTGTGTTTTTTTTCCGCGGTCCCTCTGTCGAGATAAGTCCCGAACACAACCCTCAAAAAATCGACTTGTCCATATGCCACTTTGGGGAACAATTATGTTAGATTTTAATTTTATTGCTAAACGATTTTTCGACACGGCTTAAAACGAATAGATGTTGAATAAATCTTAATGTTATAAAATGCTTAAAAATTTTTAGACTTTCAGGCTTGTCAATACTTTTTATTTGGTTCTAGGGTTAACCGTAGTTTTGAATTCTAAAACGATTTATGCTTTTAATCCAAAATTAGTCTCTTATTAAAAAGTTAAGAAAAATACTTATTATTTTCCTTTTTGAAAAATTCTTTCCTTAAGAAATCAAGTCAAATATTGGCAATCAACAGTCTGGAATTTAGGTTTTATTAGCCATCACTGGTAAATAGCTTTGTCTATATTTCATTTGGATTCTGTTGCTTCCTGTTGGGAGAACATTTTCTTCGATGCCTTGGAGTGGCTTACAAATGGCATGAAATTCATACGCCGTGCATAAGTAGCGTTAAATTGTGAGATTGTATTACATTTCCCCCACAATAGTCTGGATTAAGATTTCTTTTCGGATATTTTTGGGGATGATAAAACAGCAGGGGATCAGACTGACGTCAAGAAATGAATGTTGGAGCTTGGTCTGAGGGAGATTTTTGACTTCAGTGTGAACTGTCGAATTTTTTTAGAAAAATATGTGTCAATCCCAAAATTATTTTCTTTGTGCGGCATTTTTTGATTAAAGTATGCTCTTTATACTTTGTTTCAATATAAAATACAGTGTAATACAAATTAATACAATATTGCCTTATAACCAAATATAATATATCCTAGATGAAATTAAATATTGGTCTATTGACATTTATCTAAAACCTAGATAGCAGTAAAGGATATTCGAATATTTTTATTTAACTTGTATTATTTAAAATAAAAAAAGTTTTCAAGCAAACATTTCCCCAACTGACCACTTCCTGTATTTGTCAAATTTATTGTTTGTCCATACATCAAACTTCAGGCCTTGGGGCGGAATTCCCTTACCAAAAGGGAGGACTTTCGATCTCCTTGTTTCACTTCACGGACAGAATGTTGAAAACTTTGATTGATGCATCGTCGATAGCAGCGAAATGGAAATTAATCAAAAATGCAAACTGTCTTGCGACAGCCACATGCCGCACAACTTGTTCGACTTTATCTCTCGACTCCCTTGCCTGCTAATAAATTTTTATTTAAAGTTCATAAAACAAACCGTGCAGGATAATAAATTATGAGCAACAACAACGGGGCCCCCCGCAACAGCTGCGTCCATGAAATCAACATAAAAAGTCATTTGTATATAATTTTTTTCGGCTTTTGTGATTTGTTTTTTTTTCAGCGCTTTTCGGGAGATTTTTCCCAAACAAATTTTACACAGTTGCTGCGGCTTCACGCTTGTTTCGAATGCTTCCCAGAAAAGTATGCAAAGTATGTGGCACTGGAAGTTGAATTTTCCCCCGGAAAATGTTCCCCCTTCTCTACTTTCTGTGCTCGTAATTCGCATTCATTTATCTAAGCAGCCGTGTCTTCTTTCAGGGCTTTTTCTTTTGTTGTTTCGCTCACTTTTGCTCACTTTTTTACGTGACTTGCTTTGGTTGGGCGTTGAAATGGGAGGAAAAGATATATGGGTATAAAAACGGGGAGTATTGCGGCAATACCATAAAGTATTGTTGTGCTTATTAAAAACGTAATTTAAACATTTTGTTTGTCATTTATTATGATTATTTGTGGTAAAGGAAAATTTCTAAACACCGAAAAATTTTGTGAGGGCTATACTTCGCAAATTGCTGGGCTTCATTTTTGTATCCCTTAACTATGAATGTTAAACAAATAAATCCATTACCTTTATTTTATTTTAATAGATATACTAAATCTAGCAAACAATATTATTTCAAATCTCTTAACAACAAAGCTTATAAATTAGCTTTTTAATATCTGCTTATTTCAATTAAGTAAGAAGTTTAAACTCTCGTGGATATCTATCCACAATGACACTCATTTTAAAATATCCAAAGAAACCAATTCAAATCCCTCGTGAGTTGCGCAGAAAATATCCAAACTCGAGGGGGGATTAACTACGTCGGTCGCCTCCAATCAGCCACCCTAGACCTGGGGATATCCTGTCAGCCGGGCAACCCTTTCGTATCTGGGGCCGCGACATGATAAATGACCGGTGTTATTCAAATTAATTGATCAAATCCGAATGTCAGACTGTGGAAATCTGCGAGAAATTGCCAAATTACGGCATCAAATGAATTAAGTGGCGACTGCCACTCGCATGACACATCGCCGGTATAAAGCGGATGAGGATGTGGATGTGGATGTGAATGCGGATGTGGATGCGGATGTGGCTGTTTTCAGGGGGATGCGGCTGGAAAATTTGCATGTGTCATGCGAGTGTCCGAGTGTGACACCCAGCGGGTTCCAACGCCACCAGCACAACCAGCACAACCAGCACATTCCGGAATGGGGGCTCTACGGGTATATGTGTGTCAAACGGTATAGCTTCCGGTTGAATGATTGGACAAATGAATGGCTTACAAACGGACGCATGTCCGAACGGACGCAGGATGACCACAGGCACACTCATACAAAGGGGAGGTCCTGCAACTGGAACTGGAACAGGAGCAGGCGCCGTAGCCCCCGAGGGCTCCTGGTCAAATGTTTGCGGTTACTACGGGGGCATCACTCTCTCAGGGATCTAAAGCTGATGAGGCACTCAAAAAAATATATATATTAAAAAAATAAGTTTACAACGATAAAAAAAACAGTAAAATGTTTTTCTTACAGGAAAAATTAATGTAAATACAGGAGTTTAATAGGTGTTTTAAGGTGTTTCGAAGAAATCTTGCTTAAAACTTACAAGTAAATTAGTAAAAGTCATATATAGGTGTTAATAAAAAACAATCCCATATGAAGTTTTTTTATTGTAAGTGCAAAATAGCGACTATTACAATAAAAATATATGGGCTGAATAATTTTTTAATGAAATTGGTATTAACCTTATTTATTTCCATTTAAATATAAAGTGTTTCTTACATTACTAAGGCTGGATATATTCCCAATTTCCCAAAAAAAAACAAATTCATTGTAACCAAAGCCATTTCAGTCAAAGTCAATATAATTTTGTACAATCTTTCTAAGTGCACAAGAGGCAATGCAAAACAATTGCCCGTTGGCCATATTTTTCGGAGCAAAAATTGTGCTCAAATTGAAATCGGAATTGCAAATTAACAGCCGGAGCAGCAGGCAACGATTTATTGCCTTGGCAAGACTCCAGTCCCTCGATCCGACTCCAAAACGATAGAATCAGTCAGTCATTTGAGTTGGATTAATTGCTCTGACTTTGTGGGAGGACGGGCCGATGTGAACTGATTAATTTTGTGAGATTTCACAATTTGAGAGGCTTGCGAAAGTGTTTTTCGAATGATTGCAGAAAGCAATTAAATGCTTAAATTGAGTGCATGGCAAACTGATTGGGTTTCTCCAACTCTGTGTGTTTCTCTCCAGTATTGCGGGTATGTGAGTGTGTAGCTACACTGACATTTTCCCACCCC